GCCGGGTCCCCCTGGTCGGCTGGAGACGGTCTCCAGCAGACCAGGGGCACCGGAGCAGCTTACGAACGGGGCTTTCTCGCCCCGACCTCCGGGGCGAGAAAGCCCCGTTCGTAAGTGCGGATCCGACATAAGTCGGATCCGCGTAAGTCGGGGACTGCCTGTAATTCGAAATAAGTTAGTTCGAATTAGCGTTTCTCGCCCCGACCTCCGGGGCGAGAAAGCCCCGTTCGTAAGTGCGGATCCGACATAAGTCGGATCCGCGTAAGTCGGGGACTGCCTGTAATTCGAAATAAGTTAGTTCGAATTAGCGCTGTAGTGTAGACATACCTGAACAGTCTGGAATGGCTGACCAGAGTGGAGTTTTAGCTGAGGGAAAAGATCAAATTCTGGAAGGTGATTCTGAGGAGTTGTTGGCTAACCCTCATGATCAGGATACTGAGAAACATTGGTGATTAAAAAATATTTATTTTCTGTTACTCCTGTGGTTTACCAAATATCTACATATTGTTTGTCCACATAATTAAGGAAAAATTATATTACAAGTTAGGATCCTAGTACTGTTTGTGCCCATCTTTTTTTCTCTGTATTTTGTTCCCTCTTGTAGCTAGTTCTTTCATCCAGGGCAACCCACAGGCAAGGGCAAAAACAGTAGCTGCACCAGGGCTCAGTGATTTATAAGGGCCTGTGGCTCTGGGCTGCCACTATCACTACCATGGCAACAGCAGTAGCTGGTGCCCCTGAACTCTTTAAATCACTACCAGAGCCCCATGCAGTGGAGTCCAGTGCTGAGGGCTGGGTGCGGGAAGCTAGCCTCCAGCCCTGTGACTTTCTTCTGAGGCCCTGTCCTTCCTGGAGGGGACTGGAGCTTGCCCTGCCCCCAACTTGCATAGGGCCTGGCAAAGTCAGTCACCAGCCCTGCATCCATCCAATGTATCTATTGCTCTCCATTATTAATCTTTCTGTATCTGTTACTTTCTCCTTTTTTTCCACACTCCACTTTCTTCATTCTCTTGGGACAAATCCTGACCTCTTTGCTCACTTGTGTAGAGTCACTAAAGCCAATAGTTATTCTCCTTTCCTCTCTTTTTCTAAGGTCAAGCTGGTACCTGTAACATGAATGGAACACAGATCCATCTACATTTTCACTACTCACTGTGTCAACCAATTTACCTGGTACTGAAGGAAGGACTCTCTGATCTAAAATTCTCAGATCTAACTCTAAGCTTTTTTTAAAAAAATGATGGCTACCATATTTGCTAGAGTCTGGTCTTCTAATTACTTTCTGCTAATTTAAATGAAAGAATACTTTGTTTTCTAGAAATTCAGATAATCCATTCATAAGTTTCTCAGAACTCCTGGAGGAACACCATCTATTATGGAATAAGAATAGAGACAAGTTCCAAAAGGTGTCAGTCATTCTTTCAAAATGACATTAAACATTTTTTGTCCGAGCCATTTTTTTGCTGTAGTTATAGCATTTTCAACATTTACTGTGAGGTGCCAAGGTGATCATCTGCTGATTAGGATATAGCAGTAGATATTTCCCTAGAAGATGGACTCTGGTGTCATGTCTCCACACAAAATACTTTGCACACAGATACAGCTGAAGAGTGAAATACACATCACCACAGGCACAACATTTTTCTGAAGTCTTGTATTATTTTATTTCTGAGTTAACTGGCAGAACCAGTTGTCCTACAAGCAGTAAGTGAACTACAAGCAGTAGCCTGCTGTCTGGTCAATATGTTCCCAAGCAGATTTATTTCTCACGGAGTGTCGCCATAGAAATCTTTACCGCAGTTACAAATCCGATTCATGGAAAAAGTCAAAACACGTAACACAAATATCATTTTTGTAGAGCAAATTTGCTTTTCATTACTGTCATTCAACCCCTGCATTACAGAAATTGTAAATATGTTCATAAAAAGTACAAGATGCAAATCAATGGACCTGACAGTTGGAAAAGGTTTTCAAGTAGTTTTTTTTTAAGGGAACATGTGGATATATCTAATATCTTAACTTTTTATTATACTATAGACCTTTGATTTAAGGATTATGCCCTTCAAGCTGTTTCCTTTCTGATTGCAAACTGAACATATTTTATCTGAGATCCTAAATTTCTGAAATTTTCACTAGAACAAAAAGAAACGGTAGGAAGGTTCAAATTAAAATGGAGACGATTGATCTGTGGGATCAATGTAGGTTTTTTTTTCAAGTTTTTGGTGGTTGAGCTGTGGCTTTATCTAGCAGAAAAAATCCAAAAATGTCTGAGAAAGCTAGAGCCTATCATGAATACTGTGCCCAGTTTTGGGGTTCACAATTCAAGGTATTAATAAATTGGAGAGGGCCGAGAGAGGAGCCACAAAATCCGTTAAAGCTGCATTTCTCAAACTATGGGTCCCGACCCCTGGAGGGGTCGCGAGCAACTTAGAGGGAGGTCACAGTATCACAAAGTTTGAGAACCCCTGAGTTAAAGGATTAGAATACATCCCTTATAGCAATAAACTAAATAGGCAGAGTTCCTAGTCTAACAAAGAACAGGTGAAGGCAGGGATGTGGGACCTTTTTTGGGTTGGTGGCTGCTGACCCGCAGAAAAATTAGTTGGGGGGCTGCACACAAGTGAGAAGCCAAAAAACAAAACCCCAAACACTTACCCTGTCATGGGCCCCTACTGAGAAGGAGAAAGACACTCTCCACATTCCCTTCACATACCAGAGCCTAGTGGGGCCCAGGCTAATAGATTTTGTGTGCTCCAGTCCCACAGTAGGCACAGGCTCCCCAATGCTGAGGAGGGGAAGCCCTGAGCCTTGGGGGCCAGATCCAGGAACCCGGGGTCCGCATCTGGCCCCTGGGCCTGAGGTTCCCCACTCTTGGGTTAAGGGTTGACACAGTACAAAAGTACCCACTGAGGAACAAATATTTGCTAATGGGATCTTCATATATGTTCACATAACATAGTCCACGGGCGAGACAAATTCAGATTGGAAATAAGGAATACTTGTTTAACCATGAGGATAACTAATTACTGGAAGAGTTTATCAAGCATCCAGGTGGTTTATGCATCCCTGGTCATTTTTAAATCAAGACTGAATGTTTTTTACAAGGTATGTTCAAGCTCAAGCTAAATTGTTTTGAGAGAAGTTCTACGCCCTATGTTACATAGGAGATCAGACTAGATAATCAAAGAATTATCTGGCCTTGGATTCAAAGAATGCTTGATTTCAAGATCTTCTGAATATTGTAAGATCTTGGATATTTCTCAAGAGAGCTGTGTAAATTGATATCTGCTAAAGATGTGGCCTTAAGTGAGCTCAGACCATTAACTGCATTCATGTGTCCAGTCTTCCATACTGTTAAAGTAAGTCACAATAGCTAGGAATCTTGGCCGTAGACTTTAGTCTACTGAACATGCTTTGTGTTGGAGCAAGCTATTTGCATTATAAGCATATATGCTAATCAGACCTGGTGCCTTTATATAAATAATAAAACACCATGGGCATAGTTGTGGGGTGCACATGAGGGCACTGCCTCCCTAACAGAGATGAGGCATGGGGATGCCACATGTCACCTCCCACCCATTTCTGCAAGCACTCAGCTGCCCTGTAGGGCTTAGTCTACTCATCCTGCCCAAGAAGGAACTCTCCTTCTTACACTGTAATTCCTCCCCGCCCCACACATACACACACTTTAGATTTCCTGTACAACAGTAGTGCCCAGGGGGAGGGACAGGACAGGCAGGGGCTGGGAGAAGAATACTAGGGGGAAGAGACAGTGGG